GTGAGGTAGAGAATAGAGGGGGAGGTGGGGGTGCGCCAGCGAATATCAAAAGGTGGAAGGATGACGATCCTCGAGTGAGGTAGAGGATAGAGGGGGAGGTGGGGGTGCTCCCCGGGATATCAAAAGGTGGAAGGGAGGGGTCTTGTGAGAGAGTGAGGCCGAGGGGAAAGGGGGGGGGAAGGAACTTCCAATTTTGACAAAAAAAAAAAAAAAAAAGTTTTGCTTGTGGACGTTGAAAAAAACCTATGTTCTCCATTGTATAGTTGGCTTGGGCACTGGGCCCATAATAAATGTTACAAAAGTTTCAGAAAAAAGAAAAAAAAGATCTCCGCGTAAGCAGTTTCAGAGGAGAGGCCTGAGTTCCACTGATGATTGAGAGAGACTTCACTTTTTTTTTTCGTTTTTTTCTGAGAAAAAGCCACATGCTCCAGTTGTGTGTGTGTGTGTGTGTGTTTAATCGTTTGTTCTTTTTTTCTGTCACAGAAACATATGATCATGTATTACGAATCAGACAAGCTTTCCCCCAAGCCCCCCCACAACAAATAAATAAATAAATAAATAAATAAATAAATAAATAAAAATCAGACGTGCTCCAGTTTTTTTGTAAGAGATACTCATGATCCTTCTTTGACAGTTCTGTGTTATCTTGGGCGAGGTCCCATCAACAAAGAGGATTTGTATTTAACGCCCAAATCTGGATGTGTTTGCGGATAGGTGCAGAAAATTGCGATTGATCTGCTTTTTTGCATCTGGGTATATAACACATCTAGATTCGGGCGGGTAATCCGATCCTCTCTGCAAGTGAGACCGCACCCTTGGTCTACAAACAGCACCTCTTATATGATGCATGGAAGTGGACGCTTGCTCTATAGGTGTGCAATGCGTATCTGACAGCCACGGGCAGCCAGGTGCATAGGGCGCTGATACGCATTGCACACCTATAGGTGTGCAATGCGTATCTGGCAGTCAGGTGTATTGACGCGAGGATGGAATGGGTGGTGGCCTCGCCTAGGGGATGCGCTAGGAGTATTGACGCGAGGATGGGATGGGTGGTGGCCTCGCCTCAGAGCGACCACGGCTGACCACTTCTGGCGATCAATGTGTGCCTAGTAACTGGCCTCGACAACACCCTGGACTTTTGGAAAAAAAAAAAAAAAAAAAAAAAGGACGAGTCAGGCATGCTCACACTAGGGAGAAAGGAAAAGAAAGCGTGAGTGCCATGTGTAATCGCCCCTCAGACCAAGATGATGGCGATTGCAGTTGCTCACTACGCCCTGGTCATGATTGCAGTCAGATTCATCCTGGCCTGAACGTAATTACAGCCATGGAAAGCCCTAGTGTGAGTGCACACAAAGGTACCTTGAACTCTAGGATGCATACTAGAAAGCCAGTGTGAAGACCTCTCTAGCAGTCTAGGATCATTTCTCCGTGCTAGCATAGGTGCCTCACAAACTTAGGGGGATTCGTATTGCCCCTCCTCGCCCCAACAGCAGTAGTTGCCACCCTGCGACTGTTTTTTTATTTTTTAACAAAAGAAACTTGTTCCATTTATACACACAAGCCAGGAAGAAGGCCTGTGCTCACTAGGAACTGACTGCGCCCACCCTAATTGATGACGGACCCTGGAAATTCGATGAGGCCTCTGAAAGATGACCCGTATGGGCAGGCAGGGCCGTGTGGGTTGGTTACCGCAGGCAGCATCTGCAATTGACCGGTGGGCCCGATCGGCTGCACATGCTGGGGCCCAGAAGATACTGAGGAGTAGGGCACTTACAGTTGAGCCCCAGGTACTTTCTGGAAGGGCCCTGGGTGCAGATACGGGGACAGAGGCGGAGCATCCAGAACCTGCCTCGCCCAGCCGGTGTTGACACCAAAGGAAGCGAGGCCAGTCACTTCCTCATTCATGTGCTGTCTGGCTTGGACACGGCAGTGCTGCTGGAGTGCAGGCTGCTTGCAATGGGCACTGGTAGGGTGTGAGGAGAAGGGCGCTAGCGGGCTGCTAGGGAAGAAGCTGCACGAGGGCAGCTAGTACGCAGTGCAGCCATAGCCAGGTTGCCTGCGCCTTAGCACTGGTGGGGCGTGAGGAGAAGGGCGCTAGCGGGGCGCTAGGGAAGAAGCTGCATGTGGGCAGCTAGTACTCGCAGGGCAGCCATAGCCAGGCTGTCTGCGCCTTAGCCAAGGGGTGGTGAGAGGAGGACGCCATAGTCGGGGTCTTCATTCCACATCGGGCTGCTGATCTTTCACGAAGACTTGTTGACACTGTTGTCATCAATAGGGAGTCCTAGGTCATAGGTGCTGTCCGTCCGTAGTCTGGGCGGCGAGCGCCATATAGGAGACCCGCGTTGGAAACGTTAATGTTGGAGGCGGGGAGAGGGCTTTCATTGCCAATTGGCTTCATTGCTTTGCTTTTATTTGATTTATCTTGTGTGGCGTTCTGCTTTCAGTACGAGCACATGACTATCTGGATTTCAATGGGGACGATGTAATTTGGTTTCTGTCATTCGTTTCGCTCATTTTCCTTGTCATTTGTTATCGGAGCCGGTTATCGGAGCCGGTTTGTAGGCTTACTCCCTGGCTCCGGTGCTGTCTATGTCTATGCTGCACGCCGTGTTGGTAGCGGTGCAGTGTAAGTACGATCGTGCTCACGGGTGATCGAGTCATCCCTGGGTAGAGAGGGGATGGCCAAAGGCTTATTGGAATATTCTTGGATGCATGTTTGATGATGTGAGTGAGATGATGTGGCATTTGGCCACGGAGGCACTTGGATTGTAATGTTTGTGGCTCCAATGCTATAGATCAGCCAACGAAATGAACGTCTTCACTGATGGTAAGAAATCTGTGGTTGGGGGCAGCTATTGAGGTGCGTTTATCCACCCTCTTCGCTACTTCTTACCGTGAGGAAGTGGGTTCCATCTTGAGAGTTCTCTCGTGGTTAGTGACTGAGAGAGTGCTCTACCTTGAGAGTCGACATTCTTCTGGGCCAATCTGGTGGGAGAAGGGCGGTGCCTATGAATAGCCTGGGTGGACGCAGCACTGGGTCACAACGAACACCAACCCACAGGGGGTCGTTCGCGCATGCCTGCACTGAAGCCCATTTCGCCCTTGCTGCACATAAAAGTAGGTGTTGCCTGACCTGCCCTACAGGGTGTGACGTGTACCAGACCGTCGTTAAGGATACTCTGGCGGGGATCCCTAGTCTCACCGCATGCGACTTGAAATAATTTGTGGCCTGGACTGGTCGGTACCATTCTGCTTGGGCACAGGGGTGAGCCAATGAGCACACGTAGGCACTGCTGCTTTACATGTGTCCGCCCTTGAAACGGAAGTGCAGCCCAGCCAAATCAATGGAAATCCCAAGGGTGCCTCGGGAGGTCACTTGGGGCGCAAGGGCTGGACCCTACAAAACGGGTAATATACGGACCTTTTTCTTTTCTTCTTTTTTTTTCCCACCAATCACCACTGTTCCTGGTGCAATGCCATCAGCACTTCAGTTTGAAGGACGACGTCTCAAGGGTTTCGTCAAGGGGTTGTGGAATGAAAAAACAAGTCAGGGGAAATTAATCACCTTCCGTGAGTTAGGGTGCCCTTGAAACTCAAGTTTTTTCAAGTGCTGTCGAACGAGGCCCTAAGGAGCAAAAAGCGGTTCTGATCAGTGTAATATACTAATATCTGATCCGTGGTCCATCGGGCAAGGTGATTAAAAAAAGGGAAAATTTGTCTGGCGCCTCTGTAATTTGCGTCATTTCCTGTCGCGCCCCTCCGACGGCCGATTTACCCTGCCATGCCCCTGGACGCCCTCCTTGGACTGATGGTCGGGCCCTGTGCCATATGCCCTCATGACGGGCAGCCATCTTTCTGCAATGCCCCCGCAGCCGTGAGGCACCACAAATTCGCATTTCCATAGGGCCCTGTGCCATATTGTCCGCTTCCCTGCAAGTGTGTGTGTGTGTGAGAGAGAGAGAGAGAGAGAAAGGGTGAGTTGGTGACTTTTCTCTCTCTCTCTCTCTC